TAGTCGAAAAATAATTGCGCGCCATCTATTTATCGTGTCTGCAATGTAGCATATTCGGTGCGGTTATAAAGCCACATAATTTGTATATTTTCACGAAATATTTACATATATATGTTATTAAAAAATATTATTTTATTTAAAATCATATTTTCATAGATTCAAATATTCTGCTTAATCGACCGCCACTTAATTACTCTATAAAAACTCGTTGTTGTTTTATCCCAATGGCCGGCTCAAATCTTTTGTACATTATGTAAATAAGCTTTTCATTTTTTTATTCTTCCGCCTTAAGCCAGGCAGTACTTCTACAATATTACGTATTTTATATATTCCTTAACTCAAATAAAGAAATCTGACCCTAAAAAGAACCAGCAAATAACTCCTAATTTTATCCTCCCTGATTCCTTTTTCTTTAAATGATCATTCTTTTGTCTCAACTTATTGCTTTTTTTTTTCATCAATACCTTTTATCATCAAAATCAAGCAAATGACCAATAATTCCTCTAGAAGTAATTAATCTCAAAACAGCAAAAAATCTTATTCATTTTTATATAACATATATATATGTATATATGATAAATTTACTTCATATATATAGCGTGTTTTTTTTTTTTTTTGAATATAAGATGCTACATATATATTTCAAAAGAATCATACGCGTCTATAATAGTTTCGAATATTCATACCAGATGGCGCGCTATGCATCATAATATATATATGTGTAGAACGAAGTTTGACAATTATACCGCAAATGTTTCTATTGAACGAAAAATCGAAATTTATAATAACGATTATTTCTAACCTTACGGATCAAGTATGATAGGATGAATTGTGAAGAGTGATGATAAACGGAAAAATAAAGTGTTCAGAGATGGGAATTTGTGTAAAAAAGAAAAGGCATTTTTCAATCTTTATAAAAATACATTAAAACCAATATATTTTTATCACTCCAGTAGAACACGTAAAGGGGTAAAAGTGAAAATAAAGAATGAGTCCCAAATCCAGTTTTCTATTCTGTTTTAATGGGGTAGGGGCGTTTTTTTGGTAGATTATATCAACCTCCCTCAACCTTATGATAACTATATGCGCGAATATGGACTTTATGATTACACTCGGATTAAGTCGAAGAGTAGACGTTTCATTTTTGTGGATAGAGGTTCTAATCTGTACTACGATTTCCCAGGTTTCCTGACGGCCGAAGACGGCTCCTCCCGCGGCAACTACGGGTTGATGGACCAGGTGGCCGCTCTCCACTGGCTGCAGGAGAACATCCTGGAGTTTGGCGGGGACCCCGATAACGTCACTGTTCTGGGCCATGGCCATGGGGCTGCCTGCGTGCATCTGCTCATGGTCTCTCCCATGGCCAAGGGTGAGTCTTTTTGTCCCTAGTTGTCTCTCCCATGGCCAAGTCTCTTTGTCCTTCGTTGTCTCTCCCATGGCCAAGTCTCTTTGTCCTTCGTTGTCTCTCCCATGGCCAAGTCTCTTTGTTCTTCGTTGTCTCTCCCATGGCCAAGTCTCTTTGTCCCTCGTTGTCTCTCCCATGGCCAAGTCTTTTTGTCCTTCGTTATCTCTCCCATGGCCAAATCTCTTTGTCCCTCGTTGTCTCTCCCATGGCCAAGTCTTTTTGTCCCACGTTGTGTCTCTCCTATGGCCAAGTCTCTCTGTCCCTCGTTGTCTCTCCTATGGCCAACTCTCTCTGTCCCTCGTTGTCTCTCCTATGGCCAACTCTCTCTGTCCCTCGTTGTCTTTCCTATGGCCAAGTCTCTTTGTCCCTCGTTGTCTCTCCCATAGCCAAGGGTGAGTTTCTCTATAAAATTCCCCAATAGTATTCGAAATAAATGGAATTAATCTTGAAATAGGAAGACATAGCGTTTTATCTCCTGTGTATATATATATAAAAAAAAAAACATTTTAACGGCGTAAGAATTGTTAGATTTTTCACGCTGATACATTTTTCGGCTAATATTTTCTTATAATTATCCTTCATATGCGCTGTGTGTTAAAAATCTATTATTTAATTCTATTTAGTTCTATTTAGCTTAATTAAAATAAAACCTCATTAATGCTTATAACTGGCTATTGTTATTTACCCGTAGAACAGGATGATGTTCTAGTATATATGTAAATATATATTAATTTTTAAACATATCTAACCAGCTTTCAAGGGATCCCCTTTATCAAGAAATGCTATGAAGCAAATAATTACATTTAATTAGCGTTAGTTTATATATCTAACAATAAAAATATGTTAACACAAAGCAATAACGCGCCATTTTAAATCCTTTTATTTTATATAATAAAAATATGTATATAAATAATATAGGTTTACTTGATTTTTATATTAAAAAGCTTTGTGGCAATCCCATTATTCTTAATGATGGTTATTCAACTAAACCATGGATAGAGGCTTTGAAATTGTTTGAATTTTGCAAATTTATATTTTAGATATATATATATATTCTTTAAAAAAAAGAATAAATAATATTTAGGTAAAGGGTTTCTTTTAATTTTGATTTTCGCAAGTTTTCGAGCAAGATTTCTGCTCTTCAACGGGCATATACTTCTATATACAATATAAAGATGAACTTTGTACAGTAATAATTGAAAATACGTTATTTCAATTTGCTCTCGTGAGCGTGCATCAAACCGTTTACAGCTAAAATATTAGATATTATAATGGGATGAAATATATATAATTTGAAGATGATTTTCCAGGGATATTGCCATATTGGGTTGGGTATATATATTAAGAACAGATATCCCGCTCAAATATTAATACGGTACACCTTTATTTAGTGAATAATATATAGTACATTTTCTCTGTTTATGATAAGTATGTAATTATTGAACGTTTGGCCATATAAAATATTTCAATGTAGATTAAATAAGCAGATTGAACAATACAATAGTTGTACCCATCTTGTAGATTAAATTGACGAAAATATCTAAGATATTTCAACATCAATCAACCAAAATTTCCCAAATATTTGAATCTTCAGTTTACTATTGTAATTATAAATATTTATATAAGATATTAAACAGAGAAATATTTCTAAATAATTTCCTATATCTCTTTCTCTACTTGAAATACTACATTTAAAATAATAAAATGCATACAAATGTTAAACAGTTTCGTCTCATATATAGGTTAGAATAATGCAGGTAAGCTAACCAATAAGAAAAATCGTTTTTGAATAGGCAATAGCACATCATAGAGTGATAGATGCAACTCGAATGGGGAAAGTCGTGGGCCTATCTGCTACCACGATTATGGAGCTTGCTCATCCATCATGGCGGACAAAGGGGCCTTGGAAATGGAATGAAATACCTTCACTATAATTAGCACTCATTGTGATTTAATATACGTTCTTTTTCACTTCATCACTTTATACACAAAATTATTCACTAATTAATCATCCGTAATTATTTAGGTCGCCGTTATATTCATTTTATGTGTAAATCGATTAAGGATTTGATGGGCCTTTTCAGAATTATTTTTGCATACTTCCACTTATAGATTAGTTCTTAGGCTAAGTTGGGAAGTTTGACTGGTTATAATTCGAACTTGTATATCAGTGTATTATATATATATATGTTACATAAAAACACTATTTTATTTAAAATATTATTTCATATATTCAAATATTCTGTTCATATCTACCACCAGATGTCGGGACTTTCCCTATATAAAACCGATTGTTGTTGTTTCTCGTTTTTTTTTAAATTCTTACGCCTTATAACAGGCAGTACTTTTATCAAATTATGTTTTTATATATCCCTTTAAAATTTTACACAAATAAATTTACTGGCAATGCGTTTCTTTTAAATATCATCAAATATTATCTCTACAATGATGATATTGATGATATTTAAAAGAAACGCATTGCCAGTAAATTTATTTGTGTAAAATTTTAACCCTAGATGGCAATAAAATTTAATTTACTAAAATATATCCCTTTAGTTCAATTAAAGCAATTACTGATTAAAACTATTTTTATTATTATATTTTCAAGATTTTGCCACGACTGCATTACCATAGCATAATACACAAGATAATTAAAAATCAACAGAAAAATCTTTCTAATTTATAATATATATATATATTTCTGAAAATAGAGCAATCCATATTTAAATCATTAGATAATAAAAATCCAATATATACCTTTTTATTATCTAATATATATATATATATATAAAAAAAGAATAGAAAAAAATCATATGTGCTCCTAGCAAGGATACGCCTTTTTTAGTTTTTAATATATATATAGTTAAAGGTATATATATTTTTTAATTCACTAATATAGGATTCATTTATAAATTCTATATTATTGTGATAAATATTTAATGTATAATTTGCTTCAATTATTTGAAAATAAAAAACAACTTGATAAGTAAATAATTATTTTTCTACTTTCCTATTATCACGACTGTACCTACAATCCTTTATCATTCCAATAAGAAAACATTATATTCATAATATATATATATATATATATATATATCATAATATATGCTCTTCCAGGAATAATAAAGTAAATCTGCAGTCGACCAGAGAGAGAGAGACGTAGTCGATAGAAGACAACTAAGTTACGGCCATTTTGGACCACATTCCAGAGGGCGACCGCAGGGCTTTTCTTAGAACCCTCAGGACCTATTTTTGGATAGTCGGGGGGTGGGGGACACACACAAACGGTCATTCAGCGGTGGCATCCCCTCGCACTACCTCTCTCTCTCGGATGGCTTCCAAATTCCTCTACCAATTTGTGGCGTGATTATTTCACTTTCCCCACCACATTATTACTTCTATATTGTCACATTGAAAGTCGACAGGATCTCATCACAGAAGAATCGACAGGATCATATCACAGAAGAGTCGACAGGATCATATTACATATATATTTACAGATATATACTAATTAAATTACAATAAACTTCGCGGAGACAAATACAAATTTATAATACAATATAATGTGGCTTATGATTGTAAACGGAAAAATATGTCCAGGGTAGCCTAAGGCACATGGCATCTGCCCGGTAAGCGGAACACTGTGGGTTCGATTCCCATCCCTGGACACTTTTATTTTTCCGTTTATCATTAATCTTTACAATTCATCTTTTCATACATCATGTCTGAGGTTAGAAATAATCGTTATTTCTCCTCAAAATTAATTTCGAATTTTCGTTCAAAAGAAACTCATGCGGAATAAATTTCAAATGCCGTTTTACAAATACAAATTTAACTGAATATTTTGTATATTATAGCGATTGTTCGATATGGAGTGAAATCGCTGAAGCAAAACTCAATAAGTATAATATTTTGCCAATTTAACCACATATGGTTCGCTATATACAGCACACACATACAATTTCATTATATTATTACATTACAATTGAGAATATTTTACGTTTTCAATAATATAAGTTTTTTTCGCTATATATGTCATAAAAAAAAAGACGTATTCTAAGTACTTTACCATTCATGCAGTCGTGGATGGAAATGAATGGTAACTTATTTCCAAAAACTATATTTATTCTTTTGATTATATTTCAAAAACAAACAGTTTGCATAGATCCAATTTAATAATGTTATTATCTATATATAAAATAAAAAAAAAACTATTTGGTTGTACTCCTTTTGTTAAGGATTTCTTTACATTTTTTAAAAATTAAATCTGTGTTTAGTTCTTTGATTATTTAAATTATAATTTTAGTTATATTATGAAAACAATATTAATAAATATTATGGTTATGATTATAAAATTTTAATTATATTAATGAATAATAAAAATCATATTTTTATTATGTCATATATATATATTTTTTATCGAGGTTTTATCCTACAATTAGAAAATACAGTTAAACCTGTCTATAGCATCCCCCTCTTGGGACTCACCAAAATAGGGTGCTATAGAGAGGGGATGCTATAGACAGGTCACTTTTAATGTAAATCACATCGTACTACATATTTAAAATCAGGCGCTATAGAGAGGAAGGTGCTATTTAGAGGGGGCGCTATAGACAGGTTTAACTGTACCGTTATTTTTGATTCCTTTCATATTTTATATATTAAAATATAACCATTTAAAAAAAATAAACAAAATTCAAAAATAAAAATTTTAATAAAGTCGTTTATTTTACTTATTCATAAAATGAATTATGTACACCAGAAATATACTTTAATAATTTAGCTGCCAAGTAAATTTTAATTTAATATACAAAAGAAATGTTTAAATATTCATAACAATGGGAATATAAATTTTAATATAAAGAAATATAAATGTAAAGTTTAAGAATTCAAAAAGATTTTATTCCGGAAAAAAAAAAGGAAATAAAAACCTCGTTATAATAATCTTAAAGGGTGAACACCCTTGGTTTTTTTTTTATAGCTATGTTCCCTATAGAAATATCTTACTGTATTATTACGTTATATCAGTATATTTTATTTTAGATTATTTATAAGAAAGATAAAGGAATCGTTATATCTCTAGTTATGTGTAGCGAAGTTTTACTGCATAGCCCTTATGATGTACATTTATAAAGAGAGCAAAAATATATTAACAAATTTTAGTATTGAAAATTCGAAATATAAAATTTGTGACAATTATTTTTTTTGTCACATACAAAATGTATTCCTTTTTAATAATATTATCAATAATATATATATTTTTTTTAAATAAAAGACACTTCGGCCAGTAAATATTTTTATTGTCTTGACGTTTGGACAAAAAACATTTGTCCTCGTCAAAAGCGAAATATAAATTTTGTTCGCTCCTGACGAGGACAAAAGATTTTTGTTGAAACGTCGAGACAATAAAAAGATTTACTGGGCAAAGTGTCTTTTATTTGAAGAAATATGAATGCCGGCCAGGGAGCCTCTATCTTTACCATTATCAATAATGTAATATAATAATATTTAATGCTATTATTAAAAGGAAAAACAAATTGTTAGAAAATTATTTTTATCGATAGATGGCAATTTAATTTATAAAGGTAATCAGAAATATTTTTGGAATATTCGAACTCCAATGCTGACTAGCATTGTTGGATGCATTATATCTTGAATTTAGATATACACTAGCCGAATGACCCGGGCAACGCCCGGGGGTTTACCCGTTTAAATGCTTTTATTAAAATACTATTCGTTACAATTATATATTGGCGCCTTGGATGTCATTCTTGTATAATATATAAATGAGTTTTAAGAATTGTAAAGAAAAAATGCATCGGCCGGGAATCGAACTCGAGGCGCCCGCGTGGCAGGCGAGCATTCTACCACTGTACCAAAAGCAAACGGTGACAGAAGTGTCTCGCGCATTGACGGCACCAAATGATGGGGGGGGGGGGGGCAAAGGTGGCGTGATCGTAGCCGACCAATAGTAGGGCGCCGGAAAACCGTGACAGAGGCCATGACGCTCGTAACTGTATATAGAATTTCTACAGTCCTAGAACCATATGTCCATTGTTATTTCAAAATTACAATTTACTGTATTCAATAGCAAATTCAGGGTGTATAACTATTCAGTCTAATTCAATAGTGAAGCTTTCTCATTAATAAAATAAATAAACCGTTGGGAGGGTTCACCATTGATGAGCCATGTCCTCCCTTATACAATTTTTAATCATTGCAGTATAAGGGTTAGAGGATTAAATTTATCTTTATATGTTTTACATAAAAATTATTATTAAAATATTTATAATAAATAGCGATTTTTAATGCGTTTTTTTAAAATAAATATCCTTATCAAATAATTATCCTGAAACATTATACATTTTATTGTTTAGAGAAGTGTTTAGATATTTCTTCATTTGTAATATTAATAATGAAGATATTAACACAATGAATAGATTACTGGGTATTTAATAAACATATATATATATATAATATAAAGAACATGTATTTTAAATTCATAATTTATAAAAAACCTACTCTGTAATGTCGACCGCCAAATGTCGCGGCTTTCCTTATAAACCCCTTGTTGTTATTTCCCGTTGGCCGACTCAAATCTTTCTATGGATATGTAAATATATAATATTTTGTTTTTTCTTTATTCTAATCACCTTAAGTCAGGTAGTACTTACTCAAATTATGTATTCAATACTTTATTAGCACAATTTCAGAGAATTGTTTTCTAAATTAATTTATTGTATATTATTTTTCAAGATGACACGACTACAACAATATCAATACCACATTACTAATGTATCCTAAAAACAAGAAAACGATATTTTCATTATCAATATCAAATTTTAATATAACAATAAGCCGACAAAATATTTCATTATACGCTACCAGAATAAAGTCTTGGCAATGTATTGGTATATTCCATAGTTTTCTTCAAACTAACAGAGTTTCTACTACCCTACTATTTGTAATTAATCTGATTTTCACATGTGCTGCAATTACAGTAAAAGCAGTCGCTAACTACTACCCACCATAATTACCATGGCTTGTACCATGTGTACTATAGGGATAAATAATAAAAATACAGGATTCAGTAGAGGATATCCTTGGGATGCCAAATTTACATATATTCCAACAATACACCTTTTAATACTGATGAAATTTAGGATATATAAGTTAGTATTACATACAATATCGATATCAAAATACGAAACTATTATAGACGCGTATGATTATTTTAAAAATAAAATAATTTCTACTGCCCTTACTGCAATGGAAAAATTAATGAGAGGGTCTGGTTAATCAGTGGTGAAACCTCCCAGCGTTTTCGCCAGTTTAATTTTTTCCATTGCAGTAAGGGCAGTAGAAATTGTTTTATTTTTAAAAGATTCATACGCGTCTAAAATATTTTGTATTTTGATAACAGATGGCGCGTAAATGCATTAAAATATCGATATTAAATACTAAATTAATACTCTAAGAATGTTATTTTCTCAATGATCAATAAACGGAGTTTCCTAGAAATTCCAATAAAGAGAAATGGTTAATTAAATGGTTAAATTGTTGTCAATGCGGTTATTGGAAATGTCACGGATATCAGACGAGTCAGTTTGACGACTTTATTTCCTGGCAAAAATTATTTTTTCTTTCATTGGTTAAACTTTCTTCAATTTCTTTCTATTTTCTTCTCAATTCATAATTTTGTTGCGTGTTTGTGATTGTCTTTTGAAAATATATATTAGGTTTTATATAATATTAATAATAATTTGAGAAAATATATATTCATATTTTTATAAATGAGAATATGCGAATTTAAATTTTTGATGTAGGTATACAAATTTAATATATAGTATTCTAGAATATATAAATATTGTTTTTATTTCCTTTATGAACCTATATATATATTACATAAAAATATTTTCTGCTGCTTTTTTGAATTTTATTTATAGTATTATAATGATCATTTGTTTGAATACCTGAATATTATTATGATACTTGCTGGTTATATTGAGTACATTGGTACTAAATGGTATGCAGTCGTGGAAAATCTTGGAAACATAAATAAAAATAGTTAAGAAATAGCTTTAATTAAGCTTATGGAACATAAATATATAATTTGAGAAAAGTACTACCTGAATTAATGCGTATAAGAATAAAGAAAACAAAAGACTTATTTACATATTTACAGAAAGATTTGAGCCGGCCAACGGGAAAAAAAAACAATGAGTTTAAATATCGGGAAAGCGGTCACCTCTGGCGGTCAACCCTACAGAGTATTTTATACTAGAAATTATAATTTTAAAATGAAATGATATTTGTATATAACATATATATAACGTAATGTTGTGTAAATATTCCTGTATCAAAATTGGATCTTCTACTTTAATTATGCATCATTATGCCATTCTTTTAATCTATCAACCTGATCTCATTATAATATCATTGTTGTATTATATATCTCATATATTGTTTTGTTCCAGGTCTCTTCCAGAGGTCAATTCTTCAAAGTGGTTCAGCACTCAGTCCCTGGGCAATGGCACGCCATGGAGTAGAATACGCTCGGGAAGCTGCGAAACAACTGAATTGTTCATTTCGCCATAGCGGAGAGCTACTTAGCTGTTTGCGAAGCCGAACTGTGGATCAACTGCTAGCGATCAATCTCTCAGTACCT